GTCCTCTCAAAATATCTGAGGCTATTGGGCTTCCACCATATGGACTCTGAGCTAATGCCAAACCAGCAACTTTATCTTTCAATTCAGACCAATAAATAGATAAAGCAGCAGCTGAATCTACTCCTCCTTTGCTATGTCCAAGAAGTAAAACACGTTTCTTTGAACCCTGATAAATTTCCTCGATGCACTCTTTTATCTCTCTCGCATTTTTCTCAACTGAAGCCTGATTAGTAATGTGCTTAACGTTCGGTATAATATGTAGACAAAACGCATAATGCAAGTTAAAGATTAACCAAAGGTACCTCACTGTGAATTTTAGCAATATGACAGGTCAAACCCATGTTTGAGAAGCTTGTTTGAATACTGACAAAGTAAAGAGACCCATGGTTGCTGAACAGACCTGCCATATCAATCTAGCCAAAGGTGAGCAAAGAGTAGAAATTTTTCATGAAAGTCCTATCTCTTAACCGACAATCAGAAAAATTATACAAGGCAGTCAAAGGTCTCACACGAGCTATGTTATCTATGAATAAAAATCTGACGCCACATGCCATTATATAAAAATGACAAATTCAGGGTCAAGGTTTGATTTTAGATTCAAAATTCAACTCCACTCTTGATTCATGCTAAGACTCTCCCATGCAACATAAGTTTCCATAACAAATTTGAGTTTGGTTTGCAAGTTAAAAATGAACCTTAATATATACCTATTAACATATATCGACATGTTAAAGAAAACAAAGGAAGGAAGACAAGTTTCAGGGATTGAAAACTACAAACTCCATGCTCACAAATATATACTAAAAAACTTGGATAACTCTTGTTCAGTGCTGTTTGGATTTAGGATTTGACAGATTAACCTTGAAAATCCTGGTAATGATTTTTTTTCTTTTTTCTTTTTTCACTTCTCTAGCCAAAAGGATCCACCCAACATCCGAGATTCTCAAGGGAAAGATGATATACCAGTAAAGTTGTAAAAGTAGGTTTGATATATAATAGAAAAGTCAGACCAAAAAATATACAAAGTTAAGACCCAAATACGCATGAATCATTAGACTGATATCCAATGTGCATCATATCTTGATCTTTTGAACCACCTGAGCTTCTAGTTATTAAGATGCATGTTTCCCACACTGATATCCAACATAAGATGCATGTCCCACCCTTGAGAAATTAGTTTCAATCTCCCCTCCCTCAGTTTTTTTTTTTAATAAAAAAAAAGGGGTAAATAATTAGTTCTTTTGTTTCACAAAGATACCTGGAACTAATAAATAGACCATCGAGTTTGGTAGTATGGACCGCTGACCATCCCTGACAAAGAAAAAAACCATGTGAATAACTTATAACTCTACAATCATACCATGCAGACATATAAAACTCAATGATGCAGAAGATGCAGAGAAGCCCATTTTACCTGACGTTATTGAGAATTTCCATAAACCTTTCAGTTCCATCTTCTGGAGGCATCTCTGGATCACACTGCAGCCATCCTATATCATCTGCAGATCCCCGAACTGTCCTTTGTGTTCGTTCAATAAGCCCGAGAACAAACATTGGAAGTTTAGAGAAGTCCATGGCCAAGTTAAGAAGCTTCAACTAAGATTGCTTCTGCATATTTAAGCAAGCACATTTGTGAGTA